GGGGGTTGGCTGAGCAGTAGGTAAACATGCAAAAATAAAATGGGCATTTGGAATGAACTAGTCAGGGCTTCTTTTAATGAGCATGATGACTCAGGTGGGTTTGTTGCTGTTTTTGAACCAGGTCGATCGTTTAGCAGGGAAGCCTGTACATGAACTGCCGCAGCGCCTAGGAGGCAGCACTGCCCCGTCTCCACCCGTGCCAGAGAGGGACCCTTCCCAGGTGGACTTCCCGGCGCAGCGCATCCTTCAGCGACGAGCTTCTGCAGACGACGGCTGGCACGCATCGGCTCCTCTCTGCCGGCACAGGCCGCGGCGCTCGCCCTGCGATGATGCCCGGTCCCTGGGAGGCGCTGGGGCTGCCGGGCGGCCTGGTCACCCTGAACGTGGGCGGGAAGCTGTACAGCACCACGCTGGAGACGCTGACGCGCTTCCCCGACTCCATGCTGGGCGCCATGTTCCGCGGCCCGCAGCCGGCCCTCACCGACAGCCGCGGGAACTACTTCATCGACCGCGACGGCAAGGCCTTCCGCCACATCCTCAACTTCCTCCGCTTCGGCCGGCTGGACCTGCCCGAGGGCTACGCGGAGCTCTCGCTGCTGCGGGCGGAAGCGGACTTCTACCAGATCCGGCCGCTCCTGGACGAGCTGCGGCGGGTGGAGGCCGAGCGCTGGCGCCAGCGGAGCAACGCGGTGCTGCACGCCGACGTGGACGTGTGCAAGCGCCGGGTGCACTTCAACGTGCGCCGCGGGCCCCAGAACTATGAACTGAGCGCCTGCTCGCTGCACGTCTTCACGGCCAACGTCTTCTGCACGGACAGGCACTTCCTGGCCCTGCTGCGGAGGCGCCTGAGCCACGCCGACGCGCCCGGCGGCGGCTCGGGGGCAGCGCCTCCCGGCAAGGCCCTGGACTGGTCCCGGAGGGAGCCAGAGCCTCTGAGCCCCTCAGAGGGGGAGCCCAGAGGCGGCAGCCAGGGGGGCCCCGGGGCCGCCCACCGAGGGGAGGGGAGGGGCAGGAAGAGGCGCCTGGACAATGCCAACGGCGAGCCGACAGCCTGCCCAGGCGACTCCGCCGACGAGGGTGCCGAAACCGATGAGGAGGCCGGGGACCGGTCCTTGGAGATCTCCCCCGTGGGCACGGCAGCCTGCCACCACCTGTGCCTGGAGTGGACCCCACGCCCCTCGGAGCTCCCCGCGGCGGAATACGCCAAGCAGCGGCTGCGCTCCCTGTGCGTGGGTGGCCGGGAAGTTAGAACTGCCAGTGGGTTCCTGGAAGAGGTGCTGAAGCTGGCGCTGGCTCAGGGCTTCCGGGTGGACTCGGTCTTCCCCGACCCGGCAGACATCCTGAGCGCCCGTTCCTTGCGCTTCGTCCGGCACTGAAGCGCCGCGCCTGGCGGAGGGCGCCTGTTGACAATCAGCCCCGTCCGAAAGGAGAGGCGGGTTGGTAAGGAAGAGGCGGCACGCACGAAGGGGGCCTGCGGTGGCAGCCCCCCGTGCATCCAGCCCCCGGCCATGAGTGGCGACCCTCTTCTGGATATGGGGGGAGTGTTTCTCCCCGACTCGAAAGGGGTGCCAGCATTCACTTTCTGAACCAAACCTCCCCGCCGGGTGCTCTCCAGGCTTGCGGCCCTACAGCACCCATCCGGCCCCAGCCAGCTGTGGGTGCTCGGTCATCAGACCTGCAGGGAGCTCCACCGGAGGGGGCTGGGCTGAGCGCCGAGTCAAAATCGCGTTAGATTTCTATCCCATCTTTCCTTTCCCCTTGGCAAGGAGTGCCGCCGACTTGTCTGCACGACAGCTCTGGGGGTGGGTCAGGCCGAAAGCCTTTCGTGGCCAAGTGGGGGCTGGAACCAGCCTGGCCGTGCACCCCGTGGTTGCTAACGCGGCTTGTTAATTTCTTGGAGTTATACTGAGGTGTCTTAAAATATTTTCCCCCTTTCCACGGTGAAAACTCCGTCTCTGTGAGGCAGTCGGCCTGAAAGCCCAGGGAAATGTTCCCGTCTTGCAGGAAGCGCCACCCGCATTTCCCTGCTGCTCCGGAGCGTCCAACCTTCTGGGTTCCACTGCGTGTGGGGACAGAAGGCCGAGGAGACCGAGAGGGAGGGAGACCGACTGACATGGCTGCACCACCCAAAGATTGGGAGGGCGCCCCACCCTCAGTGGGTCAAGAGGCCCCAGGCCCTTTCTAAGGTGAGCTGTAACAACGAGGGCCTTTCCCGCCACGGGAAAACCCGCTTTGCGGCCAGAGCAGCTGCAACGGGAGAAGGGCGGACGCTTGGAGCTCAGGACCTGATCCAGGCGCTCTCCTCCCGATCAGGTGGTGTTTAGACCCCACATTTGGTGGAAGATGTCGGAATGACAGCACGCCGGGGTCCTCTTGCAAGCGGGCCCGTGGGTGGTGTCTGCTGGCAGCTGGAAAGCCCCCCTTCGCTCCAAGTAGCGCAAACATTGGCAGTGGCAGCTGAGTTTTGCCGCAGGGGAGGATGGGTGGGTTCTGAAAGGGGGAGTCTGGTCTGATGGAGGGGCGCCCCCCCCCCCCAGACAGGGAAGCCCAAATCTGCACCTCGGGTCTTGGATCAAGGTGTTCCCAGAAATGCCGGCAGTGGAAAGCGCCCATGAGAGCCGTCTGCAGCCCCTGCACACATGTCTGCCCCCCCGCAAGGGGGTGGGGGGGTGAGCTTCCGGCATCGCTGGACCGGCAGCAGGGACACGTTACTGGAGAAGGGCCATTTCCAGGCCTTGGACTAGTCTCTAGAGAGCGGCGCAACCTCCTGGAGAATCCAGAACCCCGAGAGACGCAGGAAAGGTGCTGGAGCCCGGGTGGCGGGTGGCTTGCCCCTGGCGGCTCCCCCCGATCTCCAGGGGGTGGGGTGTGTGGGCGGGTGGGAGGCGGGTGCCCACAGGCGGAGCCTCGCTCGCCTTTCGGCCTGGCGGTGGGTGGAGGGTGGTACGTGCAGAGCGGAGCCAGGGGTTGCCCTGGCCCTCCTTGCCGTGACAAGCCGCCTTTGTCCTCCGGCCGGGCGTGCGAGAATGCTGGCCTTTGTCGTGCCGCTGGTCCAGCGGGGCCGCGGCCTCTCCCCTTCCTCCCCACTTCTCCTCTCCTTTCCCCTGCAGGTTTTGCCAGTTCCCTGCCCCTTCGGCCTCGGGATGCCCCTCTGCCCCAGAGCCCCCTCGGCGTGAGACCCTGCGACGGACGGAAGCGGGCTGCCTGCGGTGGGCTGGGGGCGGGCGGGCATCCCATGGCCTGGTACAGGAGAAAGGGGCACCAGGAAGCGGTCGCCCCCCTGTGGGCACTTCCGTGTGGACAGAAGTGCGGGATCCTCCCAGGGGAGGCCGGAGCGGCGGATTTCCTTGGGTCTCTGCTCCGTGGCTGCATCCTGGTGGAAAATCAGCCAGTGTGTGCCTCCGCGGCTTGGGAATGCGGGGCGGGGTCTTTGCAAGGGATTGCTAATTTGGAAGGGAAAAGAGGACAGCCAAGCCACTTTCAAGCTGACTGAGCTTTGTGATGAACATTGAATAATAATAATAATAATAATAATAATAATAATAATAATAATAATAGCATTTTCCCAGTCCTGTTGTTGCTGGCTTCCGTTTTTCTTTTACAGTTTCCTGTCTGACCGCACTGCACAGCCGGGGTGATGTGGGGGGGGGGCTTCCTCTGGGGGCAGAAACAGCATTCGCCCAGCCTGGCTTCCCTTCCCTAGAGCAGCCTCCCGCAATTCTGACCTGTGTTGGGACTACAAATCCCATAATTCTCAGCGGGCTTCTTGGGTGGGCAGTGGAGGGGAGGGCTGCGTGGGTGGGGTGTTGTACAAGCTGCAGTTGTGTGGAAAAAGCACCCTGCCGGGTCAGGCCGAGGTCACAGAACCCACAAGTGGGAAAGGGGCCGAGGCACTCTCCCGCCCATGTTCCCCAGCAGCGGGAGAACACAGGCAGGCCTGCATGCCCCACAGCCTCCCATCCAAGGGCCATCCGGAGCGCCCGTCTGGCTGCCGGGGCCCCCAGCCTGGGCTTGCTGGGCAGCCCCCCCCCTTTGCCAGGCTCCCGTGCGTTACATGGACGAGCACCTATTTATTTAAAAAATGTTGCATCCCGCCCCTTGCGGTGTCTCGGGGCAGCACCGAGCGGTTCAGTGGGGGCCGTGTGCCGGGCCCCCCCGAAGCAGCCCTGTCTCACCTTCACGGGCTGCCCGTCTGTTCCCAGGCCCAGTGCAAAGTGCCGGCATTGACTTAGGAAGGGCTACGTGCCAGGAGCATGATGGAGCACGTAGTCCCGTATGCCCACGACTGCCTATTCAGGTGGTCACTTCAGGCCCCCCTGTCCCGCCCCATTCGGAGGCTTGGAGGGTGATGGCGAGAGGGCTTTTCCCGTGGGGCCGCCGGAAATTGCTGGGACGCCGCTCCAGGGAAGCGGCCGGACCCTCGCTCGGCGGGGTCAGACCCACAGCGGTCCAGCCCAGCCCTCAGCAACGGGGGCAGCCAGAGGCCGCTGCCGTTCAAGAGGGAGCTCGGGGCTGGGAGGGCGAGTCGGAAAAGAGCCCCCGCCGGCTGCCCGGCTCGACCCTCTCCAGAAAGGCTGCTGTGAGGCTGCACAATCCTCCATTCGGAAGGCGTCCCCGTCCCGCACGGCAGCCGGCAGGGGGCAAAGCGCCTCCCGCTCTCTCCCAGCCAGAGCACAAGAAAAGGGCGCCACAGCCGGTCACAAGCGGGAGCCGTCGGGACTACCCCTCCCACGATCCCCAGCCAGCTAATACACCGGTGCGAGCTGCATGCACACACTGCACAGCAACGCACAAGCACATGTCTCAGCGCATCACCTCGGCGCACTCGAGTGCTCCGTGAAGGGGCGGCGCCACCGAAACGGACCCACGCGGTCCAGTGCCGGACGGGTCCAATGCGGGAGCGCTGCAGGCCCCCCGCAGGCCTCTGCCTCCCCACTGCAGCCCCCTTCGCTGCCCCCACTGCCCCCACCCGTGGGGCGGCAGGAGCCAAGGGGGCTGAGCGTCGGCTGCCTCGCATGAGCGGGGCACTGGGGGGGCAGGGCGCGCCCCTTTTCTGGAGGACGACTCCTGTTTGCGGTAGACACGAGACCCGGGCCCTCGCCGCCAGACGCGCCCTGGCAATAAAGGTCACACCCTGGCAACAAAGGGTGTTTGCTTTGCTTCGCAAAGAGGAGGAAAGGGCACCGGGTGGCCCGGAGGGGGCCCAGCTGCCTGTTTCCGTGAAGGGTGGCCAGGCCTGGAGTTGCAGCCCAGGGCACCCCACTGCGCTGGGATTTAGTGGGCGCTCTCCTGCCCACGATGGACGTCCGGCGGCCGGCAGAAGCAGCGGGGCCTTGCTGGGGACCCCCCCCCAGAGCCCCAAGGCCCCCGGCCCGTGCCCTTGCGATGCCTCTGCCTTGGGCTGCCTTTCAGCAGGGGGGTTATTCTGCCAAAATGGGAATATACTGGCAGGCTTAGAAGGCGTCGGACGGAGCCGCTCCGCTTGGACGCGCTCCGTGTGTGCAGGCACCTCTGCAGCGCACGCCCTCCGGCTCTTCCGTGGGGTTTCGGTTCATCAGGCAGGTGGGGCACCAGGCAGTCACACCACTGCTCAGACCGAGGCCACCCTGCCCTCTCCGAGGCACACCGCCCCGCTGAGTCACCACGCGCCCCGCGGCCGAGGTCTGGCAGGAGCAGGCGGCTTCCCAGCCGAAATTCGGGTTTTGCCATAGCCACGTCCTCCCTTCGGGGCCCTCCTGCCTGTTTCGGGCCCGGCGCTCCCTCCCGCTTGCACACACGCACGCTCGCTCGCACACCCGGCACGCCGGCCCTCGCCTCCAGCCCCTCCCCTGCCTGCTCCGTGCCAGGAGTGGCAAAGGCACAGGTGTGTTTGTGTGTGGGGGGGTTGCCCGCCGCCCAAGCGCCGTGACTGGCTTGAACGGGCCTCGGCTGGGCCACCTCCGACCGGGCCTCACCCTCAGATGCTCCCCGCATCAACAGGCCCCTACTCAAGAAGTCCAACCCCGGGAACCGAGCATGTGCAGAGTGCATTTCTTCCCAGACGTAAGTTCTGTGCCCACGCATGGCACAGAGTGGAATGCAGCGCTGCTTTGCCGGAAGCAGAATCCCAGTTTGAGAGGGGCCCTATGGATAGGCAGCCCCAGACCCAGCTGGGGCAGGGCCTCGTTTGGGGGAGCCCCAGAGGCCGAGGGACCTGGCTCCGGGGATGCCCTTGGGCCTGGTCCGGAAGCGCCCCTGGGGTGGCCGGCAGCAGTGAGGGGTGCCAGGGAGCACCCGGCCCTCCTGCCCCGGTGCACCCGGTGCACCCGTACGGGGGCCGCCCCAGCTGCCTGCCACCCCCAGCCAGGCTCGGGTCGGCTGCCTCAGGCAAGCCATG